TAAGAGATAAAGTGAAATTAAATGGAAATTAGGACATTTCGTTTTTGTTTTGCATGTATAATTCTGCCTCCCCCAACATATTATTATGAAAAATTCCAAACACACAGAAAAATCTCAAGAATAGGGAGGAAAATGCAGAAATAGTAGTGCTCCCTAAGGTGTGGGCATATTACTTTGTCAGACATTTTAGGGACACTGCACTTCAAACTCCTGGTCCAGCTAGGAGCTCACAGACATCCTAGGGATGAGGAGGCCTCTTTTGACTCTTACAGATGGGCCACTGTCCTGTTTCTAAAGAGTTTTGGGACACAGAAATAACAACCAAAGAAGGGTTGTTTAGAAATACAACAGTTATCTGTTGTCATATGAATTAAGCGACACCATAAAAGGCAGTAGTATGCAGCTCTTCAAGATTTCTTTTTCTTTTAACTGAGGTATAATTGACATATAACATTGTATTAGTTTCAGGTGTGCAATATAATAATTTGATATTTGTATATGGCACGAAATGATTTCTCTTTTAGAAGGAGAATAGATATATTTTTAAAACTATTTGTGCTGTTTTGCTAAAAGAAAACAAACTGATACCACAAAATCAAAGATTCACATATTAGAGGTATTAAATGTACCTGGACCATGGCTATTTCATTAGTGACGAGGCCGTAACGAATAACGATATTACATTCTTTAATATCCAGACCTTCTTCTGCCACTGTGGTAGCGATGAGCAGATTTATTTTTCCTGTGCGGAATTTACTAATGACTTCTTTTTGTTCATTCTGTAGAAACAGTTTAATAAATTAAATTTTGTAAAGCTAAACACATTAAAATCTTCTAATTAGCAGAAGAAATAATAAATTGCAACTGGTCAGTGCAAATCAAAGGATTAGATCATACATGGATCCACTGCCATCTGTTTTTGGCATTGAACAAAGACATGATAGTGAGACAACATTTGATTTCCAATCTGGGATTACCACACAATAACAAAAATATTTCCATCATCCAGTCTGGAAGTGGGAAGACCATTATTTATGCCAAGGAAATAAATTGATGGGTGACTTGGGAGGGAGGAAAAAGGAGATGCTTTCAGTGGAGAGGAGGATAAGGCAATGAGAAACTAGAATGGGCTTTGCTTTTCACTACATTAACTTTAGAATATTTAATATTCAGAAAATAAGATTCAGTGACACTTTTAAAGATCATTGAATTCTGAGTCACAGAGAAAATAACACACTCGATGCCACGTCTGGTCACTGTAAGAGTCATTCAAGCAGGAAACCTATGGAATATGTCTGGAAGGACATGTGAGAAACAGAAAACGTTGGCTGCCTCCAGGGAGGGAGCGAGAAGACTGGAGAGCCGTGCCCTGAACCTTATTAATTCGGAAAGAGGTAAATATATTATGTGTTCAAAGAGAAGTTCAATAAAATGAAATAATAAATTATTAAAAACATAATTTTAAAAACTATAATTAAATGAAAAAAAGCTCTGAATTTTGAAACTTAATATAAGTAAAGAAATTAAAGAAGCACTCTGGCCCTTGCATAGGAGGAATGGGTAAGCATAAACCTAGCCTGATAGGGTCAGGGCGGTTTTGTTCTCAGACTCATCCAAGCTGTTGGTCCAGTCGGCCTCTGGTGCACATTTATGCTATCTTTTACCCCCAGACATTAAACAAAAACATTAAGCACTAGACAAAAATAAACACGTCAGACCAACGGTGTGTTCTCCCACCCTCTTTTTCTTCTTAGAGGCAGTGTGTGTCTTTTTTTGACTACTAAATGCTGGACAATTGTGCAGAAAAGCCTCTCTCCAGTCTTCTCTGATAATTTCTCCCTCTCACACTCACGTCCACTAATAAAAGCTTACATGTCTTTGGATTTTAGCAGAAGATGTCTGTGCTATTCAAAAGAGTAACTTAAGGGGTGCCTGGGTGGCTCAGTCAGTTACGCATCTGCCTTCAGCTCAGGTCATGATCCCAGGATCCCAGCTCCCTGCTCAGCGGGGAGCCTGCTTCTCCCTCTCCCTCTGCCCCTCCCCCCACTGGTGCGTGCTTGCTTTTTCTCTCTCTCAAATAAATAAATAAAATCTTTTTTAAAAAGCAAACTTTAATAATGAGAATTTCAGACAGGGTTAGACCCTCAAATCACATCAAATAAATGCTGACTCCCTCTCCCAGTGAATAAGTCCAACTCTGTTCATAAGGGGAGGGTGTGGGGCATAAGGAAGGGGTGTGTTCTCTATTTTGGCATATAGCCCCCAAATCTGAAACGGCTAAGGAGCAAAAAGTAGCTTGACAACATACTTTCCTTTTGTACGTCACCTCTTTTCAGAAAAGGAGCTGAGGCCACATATAACCAAAGTGAAAATACTAAAGTTAATATAACAGAAACTTAAAAACAGGAGTGGAAGAATGTACTATTTGTAAGGATTAACATAGAGGCAGTGAGACTGAACTTTAATTTTGCTTGTGAGCTTCCTGAAAGCTAGGGCAAAAAGGAAACTAAGTAAACTAGCTCTCATCACAAAGAAGGAAGTAAGCTCCTTACCCAAGGAAAACAATGCTTTCTTTTTCTGGCATAAATTTTAAAGGCAACTTTAACTGCGTACAGGCAGTTAGTATATTGAGCATTATAGTGTAAAATTTCAAGAACTATTTTTTTTCAGCAAACATTAAAACAGATTTAATTTGCTCCATTGCACTGAATTCTGATGACCATGACAGAATTGAAGTGTCCCCTTGTCCAGCAAGACTCAAGGTCAATATGACTTCAGAAGAACAATTTTATTCGAACAAGCCATGCTTGTAATGTCTACAAGTGCCTTTTTTCTCTTCCATGGGTTTTACTGTGCACACGATAAGTAGTATAATGAAATGAAAACAAAGCAAAAATAATCTTAAAAAGGAAAAGAAAATCACTCATAGTCCCAAATCTCTAACACATGAAATGTCTTCATTTTTCCAAGTTGCCTTACAGATCCCATCCTATGCAAACGTATTCTACATTTTTTCTAATTGTAATGCACATATTTTTGTGGGGGTTTGATTTTTCCACTTGATATTATGTCGCAACCATTTTTCCATTTAGTTACTAAGTTTAAATGTCAATTATTTTTGCAAAGGAAACTCAATTTTGAAAGTTCCTCCAAGTATGTGAAAAAAGTGACTCCCAACAATGCTTAGCTTATCAGACACCACAGATTAGATTGCTACTCAACTCACATTTTATTTTAAGAACAAGCATTCCATAAAATTATTTGTGGAGTGGCAATAGAATTGATGGGAAAAAAAAATTACAACTAATTTGGGAACAGTAATAACAGGATAAGGAAAGCAATTTAGAAGGATGTTTTCACCTGTGTCATGGGCTTGAACTCACTGCTGTGTCCAGCTCCAATCAGATGATGGGCTTTGACTCCTACTTCTGCAAATTTTTTATTTTCAGTAATCCACTGAGAAAGGGCATATGCACTCTGTCGTGTTTTTGTGAAAATTATTCCTCGGGCCGATTCCTCAGTCCTTGTATATTGTTCCATTATGGTGTTTCTTAATTTGGTCAGCTTTTCATTTTCATGTTTTGGGTTTTCAGCCAGCTTTTTCAACAGTCTCCTGTTTTCTTTAAGAAAGAATTAGTTTGAATTATAAAACATGTGAATAAATTACACTGGGAGATTTTATGTAATGAGATACCAAGATGTAGTTGAACTACAGTTGATCTTGTGCTATCTAATGATCAGGCTAGCTTAATAAATAAACGTATTGCAATCTTGTTGACAATAAAACCAGATGACCAAATGACTGTGATTATACAATTTATGGCTAATCTGAGCCCATCAATTGGAAAGAGCCCCAATATGAATGGGATTTCTTCTTTCAAAATGAAAGATGATTTTAAGAGGGACTTTTGGAAGCAGCAGGCTCACGCCAAGAGGCAAATGCATGAAGTACGCAATCAACATAACATTGATTCTTACCAGAAAATAAATCCATGAGAAATCTATCTGTCCTATCCAGGCTCAAAGGTTTCTTTTCATCATCTTCATCTTCATCGCCATCACCATCACCATCCTCACCACTCTCATCACTATCATCTTCTTGGACCGCATACTTCTTCTCTTTCTCATCATTATAGAAAGCTTCAAGGTGATTATATGCATCAATTGTTCTAATTGTATCATTAATTTGTAGGGCCTCATTGTACTTCCTCAAATGCTCTGCACAAACACGTTCTTTGCGATTTCCTTCTCGTGCAGCTATGAAAGAATATGTTACGTACAGTGAAATCATGGTAGAACACACCCCTTAAAATTGTGCTGTGGACTTGAATATGTCTATGGTACTGACTCCAAAATCGGCTTCACGTTGTTTTTGAGATGGGCAAGGTAAGGATCAAAATGTGCCTTGAGCTCTAAAAGTTTTCCAAACCCTAGACTGGCTACCTGAGCTCTGGATCAGCAAGAACACAGACCTGATTCATGCCGACTCAGAGGAATGGCACGAAAAACATTTCAGTTGAGTTTGCACTTGGAGACAGAAACATAATATTTATCTTAATATGTTAAACATACAATAAGTGAAAGACTCTGGAAATAAAGAGAAAAATGGATGGATTGGTGCTTCTTTCCTTAGGTAAGGGATTAGAACATGTTCATCCTTATACTACTTCGAACACAGAAATTCCATTTGATATTCTATTTGCTTTCAGTTTGGTTGAGAATATATGACATATCATCTGAAATCTTGGCATAAACATGGAATAAACTAAGTGTTGGGTCAAAACCCAAATTACCTTTTTTTTCCATTTGAGTGGTCCATTGTTCATAGGGTTGAGTTCCAAAATCTGGCATTGGACTCATTTGGCAAAAACTTTGAATCTTGTTCATTATTTCTAAAAGTTTATCTTTAAATGGATCCTAAAAATAAATTATACACTTATTCTTACATGCTTGTATTGTTAAAGAAATAACATTATCTTTGGTAAAAATAACTTCCATGTTATAATAAATTTGATTCAGAATCTTTGTCTGGGCAAAGTAACAAGTTAATCTCTGACCACCTCTTTGTACATTTATTTTTTATCAGTAATCCACCCTTAAGCCACACACACACCAACACCATGTACCGCTGCTGGAATTTCCATTTTAAAAGTTTTACAAAAATAAAATTAATGGATAATATGCACCTTGAATGCTAATTGTAATTTAAAAATATATGTATTGGGGCGCCCAGGTGGCTCAGTCGTTAAGCTTCTGCCTTCGGCTCAGGTCATGATCTCAGGGTCCTGGGATCGAGCCCCGCATCGGGCTCCATGCTCGGCGGGAAGCCTGCTTCTCCCTCTCCCACTCCCCCTGCTTGTGTTCCTGCTCTCCTTGTCTCTCTCTCTGTCAAATGAATAAATAAAATCTTTAAAAATAATAATAAATAAAATATATGTATTAAAGCAATGCCCCCATTATTTAGAAAGCCTGTAATGTAATTTAAGAAACATTCCCTTTTGAAGAACTGGTTTCAGTATTATTTCTACCAAAATAAAAAGTTAAAAGTTAGACTTGTAATGAGCACCAGGTGATGTATGGAAGTGTTGAATCACTATATTGTACACCTGTAACTAATATAACACTGTATGTTAAAACACACACACACACACACACACACACTGTATGTTAACTAACTGGAACTTAAAAAAAAAGTTAAGAGATAGAGTTTAAAAAAAAAAACAAAAACCCAGACACATAAGAGTGCATACTATATGATTTCATTTATATAAAGTCCAAAGTCAGTTAAAACCCACTTTTGGTATTAGAAGTCAGGATAGTAGTTATCCTTGGGGGATGAGTGACTGGAAGGAAGAATAGGGGTTTTTGGGGTGCTGAAAATATTCTGTCTCTTAATCTGGATTTTGATTATACAGGTGTGTTCATTTTATAACAATTCAGCAATCTGTACACCTATGAAGTTGCACTTTTCTGCATGTCTGTTATACTTCAATAAAAAGTATATCAAAATTAAGTAAGTTAAAAAGTAAGATGGCAACTTCTTTTAAAAATATATCCTGAGGATTTTGTGGGGTTTTTAAAAATGATTATGAGTAGAAATATGCATTTAAAGTTATTAAGTATAACTGAATAAGGACCAAGAAGTGAATGAAAATAAAGTATATTCAAATGTTCTGGTTCAGCTGGAATAGATAGTAGTCATCTTCAGAATTTCCAAAAAATTGATCTGTGGAGATTGGTCAGTAACATTGGGTTAGTACCTACTACATTTCAAATACAATATTGCCTATTATACATATTTCATGTTATTTAATCCTAATATCCTATGAGGTAGATTTTCAATGATTATAATTATTATCAAGTACATAGAGCTAAAATTTATCATGCTTTTTATATTTTACAAAAGAAAGTATTGACATAATATACTGGTCATAATGTCCAAACTAACATAGTTGGTTTTTATAATCAGTGAAAATACTCATTGCAAAAGCATCATTAAAGTAAATATTTTACTTCTTTACCATGTCAGTGTTCTCTTAAGAAAGTAAATATACAAATTAAGTAAGATTTCCATTATCATTACCAACTGTAATCTGGTAGCAACAAAATGGCTCTGCAAAATGTCAGAAAACCAGTGCTGAAATTCACCAAGAAAGTAAAAAGAATAAAATGAATTACAGTAATCACTCTAGTTTAGCTATACAACCTCTCTACCCTCACCTCCATGCTCACATGTAGTCAAGCTACTCTTCATATGAACTGGAAAACTAAAAGAAGGCTGGAAGAGAGAATTCACAGCAGTGCTTTGTTGTCTAACAATTAAAAAAAAGAATAAACCTGTAACTTATTTTGCTAAAAATTTAAGATAATATTCTTCAGATGGTTGGTATAAAATAATCTTTGCATCTTTCAGTTGAGTATGGTATTATAATGAATTGTTGAACACTACATCAAAAATTAATGATGTACTGTATGTTGGATAAATGAACATAATGAAAAAAAACAAAAGAACAAAAAAATCTAATAAATATAAAATTTTAAGCACATACTTTTCTGGTGTCATCTGCAATTGCAAACTTTTTGCATGGCTCTTTTATTTGGTCTTTGAGTTGATCAATATTTTCTTTCACAGTTTTAATGGTACATGCATCGAGATTGGCACATATCTGGAAAAGAGATTTTTTTCAATATTCAAATATTTACTTTTCCTTTTCAACTGATTCAGTGTAGAATTATTTTTCATATAACAAATAAGGACCATGACTAACTAAATATAGCATTTTAGTATTGCTCTACTGTGGATCTGATTAACCAATACGTTTATCTCTATGGACTAAAAAGAAGCTTCTAAATCTTGTTGGTGGATAATTCCAGAAAAAGAAGTGTATTTATTTTCATTCCTTAAATTCCATTTGCCGGCTGGAAAAACTGACATGGAAACAATGCAGCAAATTACAGAGATCGGCAGAGAATGGTAATGAGATAACCCTATCACATAAGAGATTTTAAAGGTCATCTTGACATCCCTGGATTAGATTACCACCCTCTTCTACACATAACGAGGACAATGTAAAGCTAGGAGCAGCCAAAGCCTGGATGTGCCTGGATCTAGACTGGTATTAGTCCTTAATCCCATAACAAATTATATCTTGGAACAAATAATTGTGCCTCTCTCTGTTCTACATGATTGTTACTGAATTCAACTTAAAAGTAGGGGACTTAAAATATAAATGCAATTGCCTTAGTGCCAACATACTTCTTGGGTTACTCTGAATTCACTGAACAATTGAAATCAACAATAGTACTTTATGTGGTGTTACCACTTGGGGTCAGCTGACAAGTCGTACAACCGCAACTAAAGATTCTCGTATCTCCATTTTCTCATTTAATTTGAATTACCCAGAATCTGAGAATCACACAGAACAAAAAAGGCACAGAAAAAAATATGCAATTTTGAAACTCATGGAGTATTATGAAAATTAGAAATTTTCATAGTTTGTGCATATTTCTATATCACATGGATCATCAGGTTTAACAACAGGAGTAGATATTTAAAATAAGGTATTTCATTTGTCCCAATTTTTCATTGATTCTATCCGTACTCCATAATTTTTGTGATATTTTTCTGTACCATAGTAATTTATTAGGGCATGTTACTGTTTTGTAGAAGACTGAATATGTTTAACTAAAACATATTGATTTCACTTAACTGATGATCATAGAATACCTTCTTTTATGCACTCCATGGCACTTGGACCTAATCTTACTCAAGAAGCCCAAGAAGCTCTGGCATTTGCTTTTAGGGTTTTTTGTTGTTGTTGCTATTGTTGTTTTACATAAAGTTAATGGCTTACTTTTAAAATGTGTTCCTTGGCTTCAGCTTGCCTTTTGGCTCCTCCAACACCTGGTGAAGCTGTTAGTCCTAGTATCTGAGGTAGAGGAATCACTGGTTTGCATTCTTTCTTGAGTTTATTGTTTTTCAACTTCTGTTTCAAGTAACGCCTCATGATGTTATTATAGACTGCTTCTTTGTTGGTGTGATGGCATTCATCAATGACGATGAGGGAAAAGTCTTAAAAGAAAATCCAAGTGGTTCATTTGTCCATACCAGCAAGGTAGAGTGAAAAAAAGTACCTTAAAGGTAGTAAACTGTGCTGCGACGGGGATATCTTTTCTTGAGCAGAATCCTGGCACAGACCTCTCACTTTTTAAGAGGGCAATGGGACTATGTTAGTCATCTGTACATCCAGAGGTCCAGGTATATTAATTATGAAACTATTATTGTTAGTTATTATCCTTACTTAAGAGATTAATTTCAGAAAGTTTATAAAGGTAAAAAGTGTTACGGGATGGAATTCAATCCCTGCCTTATTCCCCACAATTAATCAGGATTACATTTTTGTTCTTTAATAAAACAATTTAATTTTCAGTTGATGAGGGTTTATTTTTATGTCAAATAAAAACCATACCATTTAAACAGAGATCATTTTGCCTTGTATTAACACTGCATTTAATTATTACAATTATTATAATGATTATTTATACTTCTTTCCCTTTCTCTCACTTTCTCTTCCCTTCCCCTACAAAATAGAAAGGATTATATTTCATTCTATGGAAAAGATGGCATATCTAACAGTAGCCATTAGCATATGAAAATATCCTGTTGGTACCTAGAAGTAAAAAGTAAATGGAAAGTCCAGTGAGTGCTTGATTTAATACCATATTCTTATGTAACTAAAGTGATCTAATTAAAAATGTATCATAATTTTTGTGTTTCCCCAAGAAAGTAGAAGAGTTTTAATGAAAACTTAAGCAATGGAAGACAATCTAAATCAGAGATAATCTTTTTATTTTTATTTTTATTTTCTTTAAGTAGGCTCCACACACAGCGTGGAGTCCAACACGGGGCTTGAACTCACGACCCTGAGACCAAGACCTGAGCTGAGATCAAGAGTCAGACACTTAACTGACTGAGCCACCCAAGCGCCCCTAAATCAGAGATAATCTTTTTAAATCAGCATTTTAAAAATATATAACTAATACAGCCTCTGTGCTATCATCAATATCACTAATTCTTCTTTTTCCAAAAATAAACACTTCGACCAACCTGAAAACTGGACACCATCATCTTCTCCTTTTTCTGAATTTAAAAGGGAGTTTTCAAGGATTTGAGCTGTACTGATGATAACATCATAGGTTTTGACAACTTCTGGAAATGATATTTTTAATTGGGTATCTCCACTTAATCCAATTGTATGATACCATTTCTTCAAAAATGGTTCAAACTCTTTGCGGAAGAGCTGTTCAACTAGTGCCACCTTTAAAAATGACAAAATTAAAAAGAGAGAGAGAGCATGGTCAAAGAAAAAGGAGTATTGATCAAAGGCCTACTACGTGGCAAGCATTATCAGAGGTCTTTACATTATCAGTTAATTAAGCATAACAACCTATCCATCATTACATTCATTAATTTGTCAATAAGCATTTACTGAATGCCTGTTAGGTGTAGACATTGTATCTGAGACATAAACATGTTTAAGATATGGGTGACAACTTTGAGGAACTCAGTCTAGTTGAGCACATAGACTAAGACTAAGCAACAAAAAACCACAAATTAGTAAAACACAGTGTAATAATTCTCCCATAGAAATATATACAAAGTGACAGCAAAAAGGCAGAAGTAACTGAGTACTCAAAAGAAGGGTTGAGAAAGAATTTTAATTTGTAAATCATGAGTCAATGACAAGATAAATTAAAACCAAGGCTGGATAAGAAATAAATTCTGAATTCACAGATCAGGGCCAGGCTATAAAGGGCTGTGAATAACATGCAGAATATTTTAAATTTAGTATAATAGTTATAGGACCCTTGTGAGTTGTTGATTTATTCCTGCTGTTTGTTTTGGGATGGGGCCAGAGGCAACATGCCTAAAAAACTGAAAGGAGCAGAGAACCAAAAGTGAGGAGGTAAGACACTGCCTAGGAGAGCAGATGTGAGATGAAGGGGTAGACCACTAAAATAGCTTTGGTGGCTGAGAGAGAACAAAAGAGCAAACAGATTGGCAAAGTAAGTGGAAATCTTTCCGAGGTGACTGGCATTACCGAAGGGAGTAGTTGGCATTGAGGTTACTCGATGTAATTGGCAAGTCACAGTATCTTTGCATTCACTAGCAAGTCAAAATGCAGGTCTTCATGAAGACCCTGACCTGTAAGACCATCACCCTGGAGGTGGAACCCAGTGATACCATGAAGAATGTGAAGGCCAAGACCCAGGATAAAGAAGGCATCCCCCGTGGCCAGCAGAGGCTCATCTTTGCAGGCAAGCAGCTGGAAGATGGCCACATTCTTTCTGACTACAACATCCGGAAAGTGTCAACCCTGTACTTGGTTCTCTGTCTGAAGGGTGGCTATTAATTCTTCAGTGTTGCATTTATAGTCCCCAGTGATGGCATTACCCTGCATTATGGCCATTTGTCCCAATTTAAGTTTAAAAATTAAATTACCTTATTTCGCTCAGCATAAAAAAAAATTAAATTACCACTTTCAGTTATAGCTGAACCTGTTGAAAATTTTAATAAAGGTTTTGTTGCATGGTAGCAAAAAGAAGTCCTTTCAGCTGGCTCTCTGTATGTCACAGTGCCTGCTGAAGGTGGTTCAGTTGACCCCTCAATGCTACACATTACCAGTCATTTTGAATACCTCCTAGATTAGGGAAAGGAATGACCAGGCCATCTTGAATGTTATATCCTCAGAGAATTTTTCCCACGGGAGCCTAGGGATGTATAGTGTGGCAAACAGAGAGTTGGCAGGAGGAGTTTCAAGGGCCAGCATCAAAGAGTAAGCATTATACTCCTCATAATATAATTACCAGATAATGTGATCAATGGTTATCTTTCCACTGGTCTGCAGAACATGTGTTATTCATCTTTTTACTTGAGGTGAGCCCCACTTATGTGTACAATGAGGGCTGGCTGACACCCCTGGCTGAAAATAGTGTACAAAGAACAATGCTTTGTATCATTGTTCAGTATAAATAATGAAGTTATTTAAGAGTGAATGTGGAAAAGAAAGGGGTAAAGTGGAATCTATGAATTTCAACGAAACAGTGCAGACCCAAAATCAATAACCAAGTTTGGTAAGTGGGAGAAAATAATACAAGGTGAGAAAAATAAGAAGAGAAACTTTCCAGTAGTGTTTTTGTTTTTTGTTTTGTTCTGGTTTTGTTTGTTTTTTGTCAAAGTCAAGTTTCTGGTCCATCTGCCACACAATCACTTGAGAGATTTGGAAAATGCAGACTCCTGGGCCCCACCAAAGGGTCACTGAACCTAGGGACCATCTTTGGGGACACAATTCTGTGTGCATAACCTGCACTTAACATGAAACCTCTCATGTGACAGTAAGTCTTTAGAATGTGAGAACCGCAGCTCTTCTCTCTCTTACACAAAGTCATTTCTGACATATTTTTCTAGAACTATTCTTTTCATTCTACTTACACGAGACAGAGGAAATAATCTGAGGAAGAAGTAAGAAAGACTCTGAAGTAGAGAATGAAAATTAAGCTTAGTGGGAAAAGATAGCAAGATCCAGGAGAGAGAAAGTCAGCCCTGAAAACGACTCCAGCCACTTACTTATTATGTGACCTTGGACAAGTTACTGAATCATTTCAATCATTTCAATTTCTACATCAATAAAATGAAGATAATGTTAACCTATGGTAGCACTGTTGTGAAAATTAAATGAAATAGAGGCTGTCATTTTTCTGGTCCTCAGAAAACTTCCCTGATATTTTGCTGATCCTTTTATTCCAGCAGTATAGTGAAAAAAGAAGGCCAGTTAGCTTCAAAAGATAAGGGTTCAAGTTTCAGCTCTGCTGCTTATTGGCAGGATGAGCCCTGACAGACCAATTAAAGCCTCAGAGCCCCAGTTTTCTGATGGGTAAAATGAGGATAATTACGGTTACCTCATAAAGTGCCTGTGTGGATTTAATGAGATACAATAAAAATAATTAATATTGTATAATAAAGTGCAATACAATATTATCATATTATTAATAAACATCTCTCATTTCTTAGAGTGTAGATTCCTGAGAATAGGATCTGCCTTTGATTTGTCTTTAAATCCCCTCATGCTGCTGAATGATTTAAGAATCTCTATACCATGGAGTGACATAGCAATCTGGGGTTCCGCCCATAAAGGATGAGTCAAGACCTTCCAAAGAAGCAGTATCTTCTGGTCTACAGAACAAAAATAAGTTTTCACAGGAGGTAGCAGGTGTTGGAAATCCTGATACTCACTCTGGGTGGCGTTGACTTCCTACTGAAGGACACAGAGAAAGCCAGATGCAAGTCTGACATGGCTAATTGGGAGGTGTGTGGTCCTCTTGGAGCCTTTTCCTGAGATGTGACAGAGTGCCTGCCAAGACTAATCAAACCCAACTGCTACCCACTTCTGCTGAATCATATGGGGCTGCATTATAGCATCTGAAGGAACCTGGGATTTATCTCTCGTGATGTTGAAGCCCTAGATAGGAAATAGAAAGTCTGGGAACACAGGTGGTGTTTTCATTTCTCCCTGCATTTGAAGGCGATAACTTTGGAAAGCATGGAGGCAGGGAGATGAAAGTAAACGATGTTAGAGGGGACAGGATTTCTCTTTTCGAGATCAAGGGTTACAATACCATCTATTAGGCTAAATATAGAACTAAGGTTATGTGACATACAGGGCCAGACTCAAATGAAGAGAACTGAAGCTCAAGTTACTATAAAACTGAAAGAAATGGGATGATAAAGTAAACAATTATGACATATATGGAAGAACTAGTGGAGAGGTTTCTAGTAATTCCTAGGGAAAAACAATAGAGAAGCAGATGATGAATTAGACTTATGTCCTTAAGTGTCTACACAACAGTGCAGTGAATACGAATAATTAGTGAGGATAATTTAACATTTAAACATGGCTGCAAATGTGGATTTGTAAGAATTACCTAGATCCAATGAGATGAAAGATTTGTGATGAGCATACAGCACTGAAAGAAGGAGTCATTGTAAGAACAAGTTGCATTAGATGCATACAAAAACCTGAGACCTGCAATGATCAATCAACATGCATAAGATGAAGAAATGAACGTTTGCATTTGGAAATTAACTGCACAAAGATAACTTAAAAGAATTTTAGTTTAGCAGATTTTCAGACAAAGAAGAAACTGAGGCTTTTAGTTTATGGCAAACTCCAGGTGAGTCCTTGGGTGCTGGCACCAGTGAAAAAGGCAAACCTGGTCATGGGCTTAGAGTCACATCTCATCTCTCTTCCAGTCTGCACCAATAAGACTGTATCTATAGTATTTTACCCAACTCTGGATGCTGTATTTGAAAAAGGTCCTAAATAAATGTCTCAAAAACTATGGGCACTCAGGATGATGAAAAATCTGGAAACCATGTTATATGAAAAATAGTTGAAGGAACTGGGAATATTTATCCCAGGGAACAAAAAGAAAAATGACTTAGGAGCCACATTGCTGCCTTCTCTATGTGAAGGGCAGTCGTGAGGCAGGAGAATTAATTCTTACTCTGTATAATCACACTGGAAAGAACTCTAACCAAATGTGGATTTCTGAGAAACAGATTTCGGTAGGGCTTTCCATCAGTGCCAGTCATTCAAAGAATGGATCAAACTATCTTATTAAAAGCAGAACTTCCTGGATATCCCAGCCTATTCTACTCAGCAGAGGCGAGAGATGAAATGAGAGCTGGATGAGAGCTGGATCTTGAAGTCCTCTTTTAGCTCTAAGAGTTTATGACCCTGGGGCCTGATAAAAGAAGGGAAGGAAATAGATGAATTAAAAATATCTCCTAGGTGTTGAGGCTACATGCTTTGGAGGAGGGGGTGTAACTAACAAAGAGACAGTTAAGGAGGGAAAGAGAGCCTTTAAGGAGGGAGATGGTGAAGGCTCAGTTTGAGGAAACTGCAGAATACTCAAATGGTCTCAAGAACTCCAGCTGAAGTATCTTCAAATCCGGTTAACTTTGTTCTTTTCTGTAAACCTGGCACTTAAGACCCTGTTCACTGGTTAAGGGGTTCCACTTAATTAGTTATGGAGGTGAGGAAGAGGGAGTGGGAGAAAGAACTAAAACTTACTGAGTCATTCCCAGGCTTGAGATAGGTTATTTAATTTAAATTTCAGAACAACTATATAGGGTAGTACTATTTTGTTCATTTTACAGATGAGGGAACTAAAGCAAGAAGTTAGGATTTTGTCCAACGTCAAACTACTGCTGGGTAGAAGGTGTATTCAAAGCTAGACTCCCTTTATTCCAAAAGATAATGTCCTTTATAAAGAGAATACGTGAAAGGCTATTCACAAATAAATTCTAATGTATCACTATTGTCACGAGAAATAAAACTGTTTTAATAGTAGGCATTCAAGTATAAAGAAGAGGTTTTTCGACTTAGCAGATACATACAAAATGCATTTGGAACTATATGATAGAAATTACTCAGATCATAGATTCTGAGTATGTTTCTTTGGTACCAAAAGGCAGGTTGCAACTAAAACCTTTGGCATAATAGAAATCCAAGAATATAGAAAAGCTGTATAGTCTATTACTATATATTTGGCAAAGGAAATGATGACACTCTAGTTATTGTAAGTAATAGAAAAAAGACTATGTCTGACCATGGAAATGTATACTCAATTTTACTCCAAAAAAATAAAGATTAATCTGCCCAATATACACATTTATAAATTAATAAACTCATTTATCTGAATAAAGCTCAAATAATTAGATTTTGTTTTGCAGTGAAGAAGACTTAAACCTGTTTATGAAGATTGTTCTTTAAATACTCCAAAATATAAATTATTAGAGGAAAACCTCAGTTGCATTTCAAGTAACATCTATATATAATTCTTGAAAGTTAGTTAACTATTTTCCTTTTTTAAAAAAGTATTTTATTTATTTATTTGTCAGAGAGAGAGCACAAGCAGGGGGAGCGGCAGGCAGAGGGAGAAGCAGGCTCCCCGCTGAGCAGGGAGCCCGATGTGGGGCTTGATCCTGGGACCCTGGGATCACGACCTGAGCCGAAGGCAGACACTTAACCTACTGAGCCAACCAGGCGTCCCTCTATTTTCCTTTTTAACTTGATTTAGATCAGCCAAATAGTCACTTAATTTTTTCTTTGTCTTCAAACAAATGATATATATTCTGGTAAGGAGGACTTGCCACCTTTGACTAAGGGTCAACAGTTAAAGAGACTCCAAAAAACAATATCTGATCCTAGATTCCAGTAATATTTTGAAGTCATTCATGTCCACAGACATGATAACTTAAATTAGTGCCAGTTAACCTTAAAGAATATCTGGGTAAATGTATTATTCTTTACACATAAATAACAGCTATTTGATTTATGCTCTGGTGTTATGAAAAAATTCATTTTAAAAGCTAATAACTTGGATATTACATACATCTGTAAGAGCAAAGATTTAAAATAAAATAAATTACTTATTTTGACATTCCTCTTAATTACATTAAGTCTGCGTGATCCATTGTTATATATGTCATTTTACAAATGCGTCAGAAAAATAAAGTGAAAATAAACACTGTGGTATTATGTGCTATTTGGATACCTTATTGACAAGGACTATAACTTTTCCAGGTTCAGATGCTTTTTTCTTCTTGTCCAAGTGATCCTTGGCAATGTAAACAGCCACTCTGGTTTTCCCACTCCCTGTAGGGAGGCATATAATGATATTTTTCCCCTCCAAGGCTGGTTGGGCGACTTCCATTTGGTAAGGCCTGAGATGCAGTTCTGGCTCAGAAGATGCTCTTTCTGCCACATTCTCTTCATCTGAAGGAAATTAAAAGGTAGAAAAATAAGGGAACGGGCAATAAAATAACTAAGGCTAGCAAGTCTAAAACCCAGCATAGGCTTCTTGTGATTTAAATTCCTTTTCATGTGTCCAAACCAATCCATTTTTCTATTTTCTGTACCATATGGGTGTCAGCTCTCTGTTGGCATCTCCAGGGTCGACCCAGGCACCCCATTCTGGAAGTAGCCTGGGGGCAGAGGTGCAGAGGGAGTGAATTAACAGGATGAAGGACAGGAGGGGAGGCAACATGGGAGAGTCTTTTCACAGAGTGGGCAAAGCCAGGGGAAATTGCAAGAAGGGCTGCTGTATAGGATTGGCAGGAATGATTCTTAGTGCATCAGGCTTTCCAGTTCTTTGTTGAGCCCTTCTGCCCTACTTGTTTCTCTATAGTCTTGCCACCTACGAATCAAGAGGAACTGGGAAAGAATGAGTCATCGTTCTGTATCACCACTCCCCTTTACTTTTTATTGCGAAGAAGATATTATAGCTAATGGTACTTTCCCTCATTTGAAAAACTTTATCTGACAACCAAATACCCAAAAGCCTGGCTATCTATCTATCTATCTATCTATCTATCTATCTATCTATCTACCTATCTCAAATATCTAAAATGGCAAAACAAAACAAAACAAAATCCTATTTTTGCCATGTGAGATAGGTAGATTAAACAGAAGCCATATTTAGGGAGAAGGGGAAAAACTTCTCCCATGTAAGCCTTTAACTGATATGTTTTCATTAAAAGATGAAAAACGATTCTGTTGATTTAAACTGACTTGTGACTAATTTTGGCATTTAGTTTTAAATTGCGATCTTTATCACTTCCTTATATGTATTCTCCACGTATTCATATTTTCCTGAAACTCAAAGTGTGATATATTAAAAATATTTCCAATTAACATAGATTTCTAAAGTTAAAATTCTCATAAAGTACTAACATGTATTAATTTTTTGAACATTAGAATAAAATTGTTATAACATACCTTGGTTTAAACATACTTTGTTTAAAAGTGATCATATTTATCTGTATTGGCCAGGGGAAAAAGATCTAAAAATGTATAATCTATCATGTGGAATGCAGTAAAATAAATATTATATCAATTTAAAAGCCCATATTTTGCTTTATGTAATCATAAGAAAAAATGAAATGACAGCACTTAGTACTTCATTACACATGAAGTGTCCCTTCTCTTATCAATGAATGCAATAAAACTAAACTAACAAAATCCCATTAACTTCACAAAAGCTGCTGATGGGTCCATTTCAGCAACTGGATGATTCTATTTAAATGGGTTTTAGCTTGTTGTGACCGCTATCTGCACAGGTAGGAAAATTCACACCAAACATCACTTAGTAAGAGTCATCTACTAACCTGGCAGGAAATTTGCCTTCTGTATGGATGAGTAAACAAAGAAGCAATACATTTAAGTTATCTTTGGATCATCTGCTGATTCATTTAATATGATTTTCAGGAAAAACCCATTTCAGATCACTAGCATTTAAAGAAATACATTTACAAGTTTGCTCTCCATGCTTGCTTTGAACTCTACAGCAATCATAATCATTCATCGTCTACTATATTTATGTAAGGTTCAAATTTATTTAAGAATATCTTTACTTCTCTGCTAAGTGGCTTTCATAGATTATCAAAATCCTAATATTCCACCTATATTCCCAGCATTGATTACCTAACTTTTCCCAAAGAGCAAGAATATTTGCAAAGGAAGATGTACTTTAAATTGTGTTTAATACCAAGATCCAGGAATTTACTTTTGCTAAATTGATATTTAGTTTAGGAAATTCCTTAAAAAAGATTAGGAAATTCCCTTTAATTTCACTCTCGGTATATTTTTGCATGGATTTAAAAAAAATAATAAAATTCTGCTTCCCTCGCAATAGTTGCAGGTACCCCTTTAAATAATCAGTTTCCTTTTTTGTTTTTCATGCTTACTACTATATCCTTGGGTAACACAAAATAAAAAGGGAAACTTAGAGCAATTTTCTGTCTCTTCCCCAAGTAATCAAAGACGAAGTCAAATGAGTAAAACATCGATACCACTTACGCATCTTAGATATTTATTGTACTAATACATGTAAGATGAGTTAAGATGTTAAAAGGGCATTCATGTTCAAAATTTGATTCTGGAGCCAAACTCATGTTGTTTCTCTGCTACTTAACTCATCATGTACCACTAGTTCATTCTGCAGCAAATATTTACGGGGTACCTATTACATGCCATGCAGTCCCACGAATATAGTCCTTGTGTCCAAGGACTTCAGAGTCTAAAGTACTATAATGCTGCCACTGAAAATGTCTGGCTATTAGATAGATAGCTCAATTCGCATCTGTACTTTTGAGTCAAGTCCGGGAAACTTGATAGGTAGCCCCAAGTTTAAAAGGGAAGCACAGAGTGAACATAGAAAAAAAAATGAGAGTTGGATTCATTGTGAGAACAGCATCCAAAGAAGAGCTGGGTGAGTGCTAAATATTCAGCCTGATTCTTGCCTTATCACATCCTCTGACATAGGGATGGAAGAATTTATCCACATAAGCAATGAGAAGAGAATTTTCTCTTCTCTGTCACCAGAAGGAGAGAACTGAGCTGGTGTCAATGAGCTAGGAGCCAATTTCCTTTATAAAAGAAATGTTTGGGTTTTTGTTTGTTTGTTTTTTTGTTTCTCTTTGGCTTGCTTTGAAAAAGCAAAATCAGTTAAATGCAATAATGAATGTGGTATTTAAAATATGCACAAGCTTTGAATAACATTGTGCCCTTCCTCTACAACAAATATTGATTGAAGACCTGGAAATTATACTATACCATATAAGTGGTCAAAAAATAAAATCAAATAGGACTTAAATAATAACATTTTATTGGAACTACACCATGTGGCACATTTCATTCTCACATTGATTTTGACAGCTGAGTTATTCTTGGAGAGAAAAGGTCTGTCACTGCATGTGTTTGAAATCGACAAAGTATTCCTTTACCTATAGTATGTAACTACGGAAAAATACGCCATTCCAGCTGGATAAATATTAATAGGTACTACCTCGAAATAGTAAGGAAACACTTTCTACATATAAGGCCAATGTGTATTGCCAAAAATATTGCCACTTTGTGAGGTGCAGTATATCTCTCTAAAAATGAGAGACAGAAAAACAAAAAAGCCTTGCATAGCATAATGAGAGTATTTAAACTTTAAGAGCATAATTAATATGTTTTACTATGATATAACACTGCCACAGAGGAACATAATGTTATGGTAGTGGGTCACATCCATGATCCTTATGTCCCACTATGTAATTGTTGAAGGTGGACAAAAGACATATGGGATAGAGTTCCTTTGATGTCAACTTCAAAAGTTAAAATATTATCCCAAACATTGTAATGCTTTTCAGAAATTCAACATATGTTTACCAGTTTGCAATTTATCTAATCCTTTTTTTTTGCATTGATTTCTACTTCAGTCTATATCATGCACCTGAGGGAAAAGAATTTCATAATTTTATAAATGCAGGATTTTACTACCCACTATGCAAAGTAATTCTTTGTTTCTAAGCACTGACCCCATCTAGAACATCAATGGGTGTCCTCTGAAAATGTGTTTGTCTTCAAATGTATTTGCCTTTGAAAATGTATTTGCTTTTTAAAAGTAGGTTGTGTTCAGATTTATCACGTCTTTCATGCCACATTGAGGACTGAAAATCAGCAAATAGTTACATTTGCTAACAGCGCTAAATAGACAAAATGCCCAGCACATAGAGGATACCCATTTAATATTTATTGAATGAATGAATATTGTTGAAAAGCCCTTACTTAGACAAACAAAAATTAGGATGAAGTCCAGAAGCTTAAAACAACCATAAAGACTTTAAATATTAGCTAGAGCATATTTTGAGTTCTAACATCAATAAAATTTAATAGAAATGTTAATTATTAAATGTAACAACAGTATAACAAGTATGGAAAAATCAAATACAACCCACAGAAATAAGCACAGGGCAATAACTTAATAAACACTGAGTGCAGTAAACAGAAAATGAATTAACCCTTTAAAATCCTGGAAAGCTTTTAAGGCAGATGACCACTTTTATGTAAACGATTCTGTCCCTTAAGGACTCCTCTAGCTAAATGTCTGTAATTCGTCTGACAATGCAGGGGAATCTGAAGTACACAATATTCTCCAAGTGTTTTCTACAACTCAATCAGAGAACAAATGAATAATAAAGTAATTTGTGTTTCTTAATTTGCCAGTTTCCTACTGATTCTTAGCTGGCCACATTGCAAAGCATTTTTTGTTTGTTTATAATTTGTTAATTCTAATTATGAAATAGTTCAAATGCACAGACAAATACGGAAAGGTGTATAAAAGATACCCGAGGATCTATCACCTCTTCTTAGAAAATGTTAACATTTTAGTTCAGTAGTAATCATTGGAATTGCACATTCAAACAACAGGAAGAAGCAATAGGAAATCGACCAGACTGACAGAATTTAGGCACTCTGATAACAGGAAGTATTGCTGGAGTGTGGGACTGGGAAGAGGCACTCTCATTTATTGTTGGTGTGATATCCAACTAATAGAGTAATTTGGGAAACACTTAATAAAGTCCTCATTTAATGACAAAAATATTTTTTGGAAACTCTACTTCTATGCAAAAGCTATTTAGACAAATTGAAACTCTTTTAACTACATGTGTAATTTTTAGTTTTTCATTTTAAAAGGACTCCTGTTAATTGGGTGATGGGCATTAAGGAGGGCATGTGATGTAATGAGCACTGGGTGTTCTATGCAACTGATGAATCACTAAACTCTACCTCTGAAACTAATAATATGTTCTATGTTAATTAATTGAATTTAAATAAAATAAAATTTAAAAAATAAAAAATAAAAGGACTCTTGTTACCTGCAGTTAATCTAGAGTCACAATCTTCTTATTGACAGTATTAATTTTTTTCATTTAAAACGTATTTTGATTAAAAAAAAAAGTAGGGTACAGGAACACATGTACCAAACCGCATTCATGACTTAAATGCAGTCCACTTAACTGAAACAGAGGGCATAAAGAAAACGGATGACCCGACTCTATGGAATGTGGCATGTGCACATTCTTATCTACACCAAAAAAGATAAGGACTGGACCAAAAATGAGAGAGCTTGAGTCTAAGACTTTTATAAGTTGTACTTTTAAAGAAAGTGAATGGCAAAGTTCCAAAACGACTTCAACTGTAGAAAAGAATTGCTTTAATTGCATAAATCCATCAGGGAGGGTACGAACAGCCCCCATGCTTTCCACTATATGGCGTCTTATTTCACAGTTTTTAAGGTTTACACAACAGTTAGGCAGTACCTGAATCACTTCCCATGGTGCCTGAATCACTGCCCATGTTGCTGTTATGTCCAAGACTTTCATCTAAGCAGCTGACACTTCCTTCTGCCAAACTTGTGTCTGATTCTGCAAAGGAAAACATTTTAAAATATTTTTAAAATATTTCTGAGAATAAACGTATTTTAACTGCACACCTCTACAGCACACAGTACATACAGTTCAATGCAAGTGGAAAAGGCGCACCCAGACGATTATGAAGAAAAGGTAAGAGTTTCTGGCAAGCAACATTTAAAAACCCCACTATGGATGAGCAGCTGCTGGGTAGTGAATCAAACGCATATACCTACTTTAATGCACGTCCGATATGAGAGTAAATACAAACTTGTAAACATTTATCACTTTTGTTGTCCCCCCACATGGAAATTTTGCCCAAGAAAAGAAAATCTAGGCTTGATAATGGCATTGAAACACAAAGTATTATATAGTAACCACTGAGTTATTTTAACATAATCTGGTAGGGAATTAATAAAGTATAAAAAATTAATAAAGTACATGGTTCTGTTAATCGGTTATGAAAATAACAGTTCAGTGATAAACATAACTTTAAAAATCTCAAAAAGAATTTGCTCAAAAAGAATCTCATTAAAGCCTAGCATTGCAGTTGTAGTGGAAGCTTATGTGAGGTTGGAAATAAATGTTTTCCTTTGCTACAATTAAACTAAGCTTCCATCAAAAAGTTACAGTTAGGATGAACGGCAAGAGAATTCTCTTAATTTGTTAATCCCGATGTCTGGTTTTCAGTACTCAGTATCAGTTCCTTTTGAAAATCTCTTTTTTTTTTTTCTCCTCTAGGGAAGACTTCCCTCTTTACAGTATATTGCCAAGGACTTATGCAATCTTATCCACAAGGATCAGAACTATTGCTAAACTGGTAAAAGTAAATAAAAGATGGCAACAAACGTCGGCTCTGGAATCAGGACTTAAGAAATTTGCTGTTGAGGTTGCTCTGAGCCTGGCTCGCCATTAGTTAAAGTGGGGCTGTTACAATTCGCCTCCTAGAATCTGATAACCATTAAGTAATCTTAGGTACAATCGGGTCTTAGCACTGTAGCTCAATTGCTGATGACTGGAAAATGAAATAAAAATCAAGGAGTTGGCGTATCATTAGGGCACGAGTTCCATTAAATAATGTTCTTCTTACAATTAATAACATTTCATAATATTTATACTTGTTACATAATTATCACTTCATGCTACAGCTCCTAAATGCACTAAATAAATTGCATTAAAGTAGCCTTTAGCTACTTAAAACTAGTCTGAGTGTCACACATTCAGGGCTAGAAATAGAAATGGTTGAAAAACGCACAAAGTATATTTTCAATAAAACTTCTCTGGAGAGAGACAGCGTACAACTCCTCAAAACTACAAGTATCTTCTTTTTCCTTAACCAGTTATTTATTTATTTTTTTTAGTTGGTGCACTGAGGTATAATTTATCCTTTTATGTATCTTTATAATCACTATTTTTAGGTTGTTCTTTTAGGTAGGTTTAGTTTGATGAGTCTGACAAATGTATACAGTTTGGCAACCACCATCACAAGCATGATTTTTCTATCACTTCAGAAGTCTCCTCAGGCTCCTTTGCTGTCATTTCTCTCCTGCTGCCCCCTAGTAGTCCCTGATTTAGTTTCTGTCCCTACAGTTTGACCTTCTCCAGAACATCTCATAAATGGATTCACACAGTATGTAACCTCTGTTTGACTTCTTCAACTTAGCATAACACATTTGAGATGCATCCACGTTGTTTATATCAGTAATTTGTTCCTTTTTATTGCTGACTAGTACTCCCTGAGCATCGGGGACATCTGTGACATCTCCCTTCCGACTTGATTAAACCTAGTCAGCGGGAAATATAATGGCATTACAGCCAGCGTCAATCAAATATGTAAGACATCTTTCTTAAAAGTTAAAAGAAAGCTGGTAAGAGATTTGTAGAAAAATTCTCAATGGACATACATACTGTTTAAGTATATTAGCACAACATAAATATACTAATGTGAAAATACTGTGCCTACCAGTTGTCGTAGATTAGCTCCCAAACTCAGATTTGAGGAATCCCTTATGATCACAAGGGAAAACCTGTATATCTCACTGAGAGACTTTAAATATGGCACTTTGCAATTCCCAGAGGTATGCCTTGTTAGAAGCTTAGAGGCGAGTGTGGGATAGAACTGTCAAGCAGAAGAGTGTTTTGGGCAGATGTACTGATGAAAAGAGAATATGATTTATAAGGGAAAGGCAAGGTGTAAAATGAGATGGGGAAAATGTCATTGCAAGGATAATTCTAGATCTAGAAATATAGACTAAGATTTCTGAGGCAAAAAAGTAAATTTTGACATGCTTTTCATTTGTTGTTTTGAATATGGTATGAGAACTAAAGGTAATACCAAAAATACTAAAAAACACTAACAAGTATTATCTAAAATCTAACCCTGTATCTTTACATTTCCCACTAAGTGTAACACAAATGGAAATTACACTTGATTTTCATTTCATTTTCTATTCGCTAGCAGTTAAACAACAATCTTAAAAGTACTTTGTATATATGTAAAGTCAAGGTTTTCCCCAAGCTTTGCTTTAACATATGTAAGTTTGGGCGAGTTGTTTAGTGCAATGTGCATGATTAATTTATAAATATTAAAGAAAGTTGCTACCAAAAATTGGGTATTATTAAGTGTATTACATGGATTATTTTGATCTTACAAACAAATTTGCAATGTGTCAGGAAGACACTGAGCTCGGTGCCTTCACAGATGTAAATTACACTTTAAACCTCAACATCCTATGTGGTAGATATCCATTATCACCTTAGTTTTACAGATGACACAGTGAGGCCCAGAGAAGTTAAATGATCTATCCTGATCACACAGCTAGAATGGAGCCGAGCGAGAAGTCCCCATTTTCTGAATCCAAGCCTGGTATTCCAGTGTTTTTTTGATGATTTGTGTGAAGCTTTATAAACAAGCAAACAATCCTATAGCCAAGTGTTAAGTGAAGTGAAAGTTGGTTATTGTTGTTGTTGTTTTAAAGCATACGGACATTTTCATTGTAATGTCAAATTTTCTATCAATCTTGAAACAGTTTATCTTCCCAAGGGGGGGGGGAAGTAGAGAGATTGTCTTATTTTGCTAACATTTCTGATTTCATCAATAGACTTTCATTTACTTTGTATTTAAATATCCACACAAATTTTGAAATTTACTTTTCTGCACGCAAATAAAAGGAGGAACACTCCCATCCTTGTTAAACAAAATTAATTGGAATAATTTTGCTAGAGATAATTATAAAAATGAAAGTGAATATATAGAGGTTTATTTCTTTGTCATTTTGAGGATATATAAAATCTCCACTTTCTCAACACAAAAATAATTTTGTTTCCTAGGCAGCGAATTCTTATGCATTTGATATAATTTTTTTTATTTCATAGAAAGAGAAATACTAAAGGAAATAACTTTAATAATAAAAGAAAATATATTGAATCTCCCATAACATTAAGAATGTCTTCCCCAGAGATTTTCTTCCTGCATTCACTTAAAGAAGTCATGTTTTAAAAATCACACAAACACACACACACATAAAGTCAGATCAAGTGATTATGTGATGCCAAAATTAAACCAGGCTATTGAGTTTATAAGCCAAGAATTCCTGCCACTGATTTATACAGGATTATTTTGTTTTATTCTTTGCACTTTTCACAGTATGTCAATCTGGACTTATGTCCTGATGAAGAAAGTCATGTCTATGATGTTAAAATAGATCAGATAAAATAGAGTAGTCACTTGGAGGCAGGGTGTTACCATGAAAAGAACACTGTGCTAGGAGTCAAGCAGATCGGCCTCCAGATCTGAGCTCAGCCACTGCTAACAAGTGACTTAACCTTTTTTTTCTTAAAATTTTTTTTTAATATAGGTAGCAGTTTCTACTTTCTCATTTTTCTTGAGAATGATTCCGTTAGATAAAGGAAATGAATCATGAAGAGAAACAAATCTTAAATTCTCATGAAGTTGCTACTTAAATGGTCTTTGAATATTGGAGTTATATTATATAATAAGTTTAGTTAACTTTTATATAGGTGTTATTTCCTCTAGGGAAAATATCAAAGCTGGCTACAAAACAGATTAGAAAATGCTGGTAATTTCTAACTGTTAAAAAAAAAAAGCAGTTATTTATATCAAACTCTTTTGGAATGAAAGAAAACGATACTCATCCAATTAAAAGATAAGATTTTCTGTAATAATTTTGTAAACAGCACAAAAAAAGAACAGCTCTGTGTACAATGATAGTAAGTGTCTAAGACCAGTCCATAAGCCACAGAAAAAAATGCCTCATTTTGCAATCACAACTTGGAATATTTTACTAATAAGGCAGAAATATTAACTGGAATCTGAGAAATTTCACATTTAACATCTTCTAGACTTTAAATACTTTAGAATATTTTTAAACCATTTAGAAACCAAAAATATTGAAGTTAAAAAAATTCAAATGAAAAAAACCTCTTGGTTGAAGGCCTTTTTAGATCTATTTCAATGTAAAGTATGCCCTCTGCTGGAAAATGCTATTATAACAATTAGTTGGTAAGTACATCGTTTACTCAACCTAAGAGCTAGGCTTCCTTAGGTAAAATACAAATTGGTTCTTACTTCTATCCCTGCCAGGTAATGTCCCCCCTATTTTCAACCTAGATGTATTTCCCACTCCACAGAATATTTCTCTTTTTTCACCCCTTGCCTCAGGCTGTCATATATTCTCTTTGCTGAAAAGTGGTTTTGCTTTAAAACAGGAAGCAGTGCAAGGGGCCAGGGCTTCTATGCACATCGAGAAAAAAGAAGGGCACCTGCAGATCTCATTCACATGAGAGGTAGTGCTTACAAGGTCTGCAAATAGTCTAATTTCACTTGTCACCGTACTTTCATGTTTATTCTAGTTCTGACCTTGTGATGCATTTTAGCTTCACCTATTTAGCTATTACCCCTTGCCTGGCTTCCTAATCCCCGCAGCCTGGAATGCGGAAGACTACCCTAAAGAACCGAACACAGGTACACTTATGGGCACTCCCACAAAGATCGCA